CCTCCTCATCCTGTTGAACCATGCTTAGCCGAAGAACGTGAAAAGTTCCTTCGGTGGATGAACCCTGTCCCTTGTACTGAAAAGCACCGTACCTCCCGTCGCCAGCGCCACGCTGCGACCGGTCGGTGGATCTTCCATGCCGAGCAGTATGTAGCCTGGAATACATCCAATTCCGCATTTCTGTGGTTGAATGGCCAGCGTGAGTTTTATCGCGCTCGTCATTAATTACAGGTTGCTGACGTCCGAAACAGCTGGAAGTGGAAAGACCATCCTTGCGTAGGTTTTATCATTTCTGGATAGCTTTTGGAGGGCCTTAATTGACTTTTAAATATTCAGTTCCGCTGTTATCGACGAAATTGAGGGCGGCGGGGAGAAGCTTGGTTACTTCTATTGCAATTTTCGAGATGACCAGACGACAAACGGAGCTGCAGTATTGCGATCTTTGGTTGTTCAACTCCTTCGGCAATCTACAGACGACTGGGTCACCAAGATCAAGCCAGAGCAGGAAGATTCCAACGCAAACGTGGATTTCGTCTCCCTGAACGAGCTAGGACAACAGCAACGTAACGGAGAGCGTTGTCCCACAGATCTGACATTTCTGCGACAGCTGCTTGTTGAAGCGTCCAAACTAGTTGACCGACCTGTTCTCGTGATCGACGCCTTGGATGAATGCAAGGATTACAGTGATCTGGTAGAACACCTTGCAGACCTTGCTGGAGATGCTCAACTACGACTTTTCGTCACTGGTAGAAGCGAACTAGACATACAAGACGCCTTCCATAATCTCCCCACCATGTCGCTGAAGGACAGCGCAGAACAGATGAAAGCAGATATATGTACGCACATTACTGAGCAGCTGAAGACTCAGAAGCGTCTGTCACGCCTACCCGAGACGCTTAGAAATTTGATTTCGGAGAAACTCTTAGAAAAGGCCGAGGGCATGTAAGTAAAGCAGCTTTCATCGCTTCTCGGAAATTCATGATCATATAATCGCATGCAGGTTTCGCTGGGTTCAGTGTCAACTGGATGAAATCCGGCGTTGCGCGAGAGATATTGATATCAAGGAAGCCCTCAACAATCTTCCGGCTGGATTAGACGAAACATATGATAGGATCATGTGCGGCATCTCACAAAAAGGGCGAGGTTATGACCAAATTGCCCACAATTGTTTGCTTTGGCTCGTTGGCGCTCTCACCCCATTGACGCTTGACCAGCTCAACGAGGCTATGATGATCGATGTCAAGCAATCAATTCTTGATCCGGATCTGCGCGCCAGTGATCCTATGGATATCGTGGTCGCATGCGGAAGCCTTGTGACCTACGACGAGACGACAGCCGTCGTTGCTTTATCTCATTATAGCGTCAAAGTAGGATGTATTGACCCTTTTGATATTATTCGTCCGCTGATGCGCTACGAAACCAGGAATACCTGATCAGTCGTCGCCCTAATAACATCCTGAAATCAATCTCAGACGCACATGCACAAATCTTCGAGCTTTTGATCACGTATGTGTTATGTGACATTCCTGTGACGTACGAGAAAGGTGCAATACAGTGTTCCACATTTAAGGGCTATGAAACTGAAGGTGTTTGTATAGCCACGGGTTGTACTATAGCTTCTGCTTCCGCTATCGGTGGCGAAGGAAACCATCCATTGCAGAGCTATGCAGTTGAAGCATTGGCGCACCTTTGTCATGTTTCGGATGAGGATCCTCGTGTTATGGCTGCCATGCAGCGGCTACACTTAGGGTTCCTTCACAACACAGAGAAACATGCCCTGCTTGAAAGTCTAATTCAATCATTAACGAACGATGAGCAATCGAGGGTCACTTCTTCCTCACTTCTACTTGTCCCTCTTCGGTTTGGAAATCCATGGATGGTGGAAACCCTGGTCAAGGAGCAACCCGATCTCCTGGGCGCAGATGTCGCCCGTGGTTTTGGTTCTCCCTTGATTTTTACCATAACCTCGAACCTTGCCCTTCTCAGCGTTCTCTTGAAGCTGGGTATCGACCTAAACAAGCCTTCTTTCATCCAAACCGATTTGTATCATCGGCGGCATCTTCCTTCAGGCTCCTATACTCCAATTTCGTGGGCAGCCACGATTGGAAGTGAAGTGGCTGTGGAACTCTTGCTGTCACGAACGGAGCTCACCCTACCAGCCAACATTCTGCACACAACCATTCTGCACACAACCATTCTGTCCAACCAGCGGTCTGCAGGAATCATTCTCAAACTGTGTCAACGCGGCGCGGATGTCACTTTCACTGTCGATGGCTCCACACTTCTTCATGCTTTACTTTCCAAATTAGTTTCCAAACGTCGGTCCAGCATTCGTCGGTCCAGAGGCCAATGGCTATCAGTCATAGAAAAACTCGTCCGTGATCTTTCTGTGCCTGACTGGACCGCCAGAACGGCACTCCACATTGCTCTCGACAATCGTCTGAGTGGTATTGTCGTATACCTCCTTGAACAGAATGCACCGCTGACAGCAACAGCAACACTCGATCCAAACATTTGGAGCTGGGCAGAAGGCAATCAGTGGTTTGCCAAGGTTCAAGCAGCGGCTCTCGCTGCTGATAAACCGTATACCAGAATCATGGGGAAGATCGTCGGTGTTATAAAGCAATCACAAGTCGTCGAGTTTCCAGGCGCAGTCAGTGCCAATCACGGAGACCCCGAACCCATTTGTGCTGTTGTTGTTTCTGTCATCGACAGGAGGAATCAATACAGTGGCCTTATTTCAAGGTTCTTCTCGCGGATCCTGGAGGCTGGCCTTTTTCGTGGTAAATCGCCGCATCAAAACAAAGCTCAAGACTTTCCTGAAAACGACGAATTCGCTCCACTCAAGTTCCGCTTATCATGGAAAGAGAATTTTCAGTATGTCTCTAGCCGGCTGTTCGATTATCATCAAGGAGATGCAGTTACCAGCGCTCTACGAAAGTTAACCCGAGATGCAGATTCTACCGGCGATTCCCTTTTTCTTCGGTTATCCCCAACAGAGAATTTGCTGGGTAGCTATTTTGATGAGCTTGAGTACGCACTTGATATCTACCGAGGTCATCGGCATTAGTTTTACATCTTATACGCGGCCACATACTGAAATACTCTACAAGTGCACTGCCAGTATTCACATAAACGTTCCACATAACTTCGCGCATTGAACTATTGTAGATATTTGACACCAAGTCACGAGAACCACAGGAAAATCGGCCTCCAGTGACTACTTGGGAAAACTGCATGTGGGAAGAACGCATGATCTGTCGAAGATACATTAGTGATGCTGTCTTTGCGAGCAGAGGAATGTGGATGACCGTCAAGAAAGTATATCATTCGACATTGTACGTGGTGCTTTCTTTTGTACGATCCAACCATGTGCTATGAATCTTTGCTCCTAAAAAGTGTGCATATGTAAACGTGCGCAATAGCTCTAAAAACACGAGGCCTCCAATATTTGATCCAGTGCAAAAAGAATTTAAGACTGAATTATCAACGCGCTGGAATATACAAGGAACGGTCCACCTACAGCCTACCAGTCTAACGGTTCTAGCATGGCGAGACTCGAGTGTCGATTCCGAATCATCTAGGAAAATGGTCTGGACTAAGTGTATGAACACGTAGACTTGATGCAGAACCCGACAGAGGTTCACATAATAAATAGCTCAAAGTCTGAGGAACGTGTCCGAATCGGTATCAGCCAAAGCGTGCATTTCACCAAATAGTGAGAGATGGGCCCTAGAATTCAGACCACCATATCCTCACATTTAGGTAAAAATACGTCTCATGGGAAGAACACAAGATTTATCGAAGACGAAGCAACCAGCGGCTTCAAATTCGATGATCGGTAAAATGAAGCAGCGGATGTGAACAACAGTCTTGAGTTTCGCATGCAGTTTAACGACTAGTAACGGGCACAGCTCGACGAATTCGGTCCGCGCTGCATTACTATTCGAAACATGAATGATGAAACGTATCACCGAGCGGATGATTGAGAGTCTAAACAACAAACCAGCCGGACATTGCCGAAGTACTGTATATTACCAATCAGCCACAACCCTCCGTTGCGACTGGTGTATTGAGCGGCCCAAACGACCTCAAGACCTCTCTCCAAGGTACGTCTCATCGTTATCTAACCATCTAATGCTAACACAGGCTTTGTACAGGCTCAAATAATGTGAGTCCACGAGGAAGGAGACAACAGAGCCTTGACAGAATTCACTAACGAACGCATCAACAGCTCCCCAAATGGCTCAACGCGTCACACTCCGAAAACGCCAACCCTACAACACCACCTCAAGCCGCAGACGCATCGTAAAGACCCCAGGTGGAAAACTCGTGTACCACCATCTCAAGAAACTTGCTACTCAGCCGAAATGCGGTGATTGCGGTATCGGTCTTCCTGGTGTACGTCTCTTTTGGCTACGCTGTTGGATGGATTTTGATCTTGATTTTGACTTTTTGTGCGTGTGGTTATAGGTCCCTGCTCTCCGTCCCCGCCAATACGCAACGATTTCAAAGCGCCAAAAGACTGTGTGCAGGGCCTATGGTGGTTCGCGATGCGGAGACTGTGTCAAGTCGCGGTGCGTCTCTTGGTTACCTCGTGTCTCTTTAATCTCAACTGTGCGCAAATAGCATTCTACGAGCATTCCTTGTGGAGGAGGCAAAGATAGTCAAGAAGGTCATCAAAAGCCAACAGAAGGCAGGAGGCCGCAAGTAAATAGCAATACTTCGGTCTTTTGGAGTGGTCGTTTTATGGCTATGGATCCTCATGCATTTTCCATTTTGTTTATTCCATCCATGTACAACCTCCACCCAAATCCAGACGAGGAGGTCAGTATGCAGTTCCTCGAATGCGCTGTGTCGTGCAAGAAGAGGCATAGTCAAATTCCCCTTGAGTGGTATTACATAGGAAAGTGCATCGATACCGCATCATACAGTACTGTAAGATATCGAAAAATGACCCACAAATAGATGCATAAATGCATCAAGCACTCTTCGTATCCCTATCCTCGGTCCTCAGCAAAATGTAGCGGTCTGGGTACGCTAGGCCCTTCATAGTCTGAAAAGGGGTCGTCGTCCTTTTTGTCATCCTTCTCATACGCATGTCCCAAATACTCTCCACCTGCGTAAGAGTAATCAGGTGGTTTGGCGTCGGAAGGTGGTGGTCCAAGCGGCGGAGCGTAGGCTGGTTGGTATTCGGGATCATAAGGTCGGTTGTAGTGTGGCGGGAAAAGGTCCATTCGCGCCTGGTTCGAGGGTGCCCTCAAGGCATTCGCAGGGCTCGTAGGGTCAACCACTTGACGGTAATAGCCAAATGCAGCGGATGTGAACAATAGGCAAAGAACTTTAAATTCGTCAGCTTCATTGCAGATTCAACAGGTGTCTATACACACTGATCTCGAATATAGTAGCCAAGATCTCGGTCCACGAATCATGGTTCCACTCATCATTGCAATCTGCAGTAAGGTGAGATTCGAATGGAAGAGTCACGCCTCAAAACTTACAAGACGTAGCCGAGGCCTGGTTCATCGGGTCTGGGTTAGAGCCCCATATTCCGAATGCCTACTTACGAATAAGTCAAGTATCACAACAAGCTGTACGAAGATACCAACAGTGTCCACTTCTCCATTCATTGAAACACTAATGCATTCATCTAGGAGTTCACCCTACCCATCGTCAGCCAAAACGTTCAAAATGAGTAATTAAGTAAGCTCACCTTGTAGGTGAAATGAGTGACGCAACGCATAAAGCCGACGCCAACGACAAGAAGACCCGCGATAGCGCTCGAAAATGCATACATCCTAATCATCCAGGCACGTTGCTGCGAGGCCTGTATTAGGGCTGGGACGACGTCATTGCATTGCACAGCAACTCCGACTCACAGTCAACAAGCTGTAAATGCCGAATATTTCTATCGCGAGTGCGACGGAATAGATAACGCCTTGGACTATAGCCAGTGGTGCTAGCTTAGGATAGGCACCTATGGCACAAGGTTAGTGAACTCGAGTATGTATGTACCGAAACGAAGAGATGACCGACCACCTTGATCAACTTGTAGCTCTTTGAAAGATGCAATCTGCGGGCAAGCTTAGGGTATGAAGCAACAGGGAGCCAGTCACCTACAGTCCTAGAAAAGGGTTATTCACTTAATATTTGCCACGTTGACGACAAACTGACAAGGCTTACCATGCTAAAGCCCATATGGCCCCCATTACCGCAACTTCATAACACCAACTATGAACATGGTAGAATTGATGAGACTGCACGACGACATACATCCAAGAACAACGGGACGCAGACTTCTGCCATAGATACGGTTCACGAATGTATAAGGCGGAGGCGCTCCTGCAAGGCTGTGTCATTAGTCTTCTGCACACACCTTGATTAGTTGCTGTCACAAAACGTACCTTGCGGAGGAACCCGTCTCGCGTTCATAATAATGGTGATTGTATTTACTTAGAGAAATGGGTATGGTAACAGATTTGGTAGAGGTACTGCAGGAGGTGTGACGCTGCATGTAATTGTCCTGCCAGCCGCAGTCACCCCATGGTTTCAAGCTCAGCTTGAACGAGTTGGCGCCTGAAACTTGCCCTTGTTTTGCTGTGCGTGAGCTCCCACAACTATGATCGATTGATCTCTCCGGACCTGTGTCCTACACCACCAGGTCCTGTAAATGATTTGTCACTTCAAGCTGGGCCTTTCGGGAGGGACTCGAACAGGTGAACCCAAGACATCACATTGTGCAAGAGCGTATGAGGCAGGAATTCGCTCAGAAGCTTGATGGATAGGGAAGGAGCTCGATGGGATGTGACAGGGTGATGGAGAAGCTCCGTATGGTTGAAGAAACCGACTACCGACCAACGAGTTTGTATCTATGTTACCTTTGCTAATCGAAATTTTAGTAACTAATTATAGCGTCGTCCACAGCCTGCAGAAGGTAATTCGTTCTTGGCCTATACATAAATCTTTTGTGCACTATGTATCGACCAAGAACAATTTACCTTGAGTCATCTATTGTCGTTGGTCTTAGCTCGAGATGCCTTGCCTGCTTGATGACATGTCGGTCGCACAAAACAAAAGGCTTTCATGTCTTCAGGGCAAGATCTGTCAGCAAAGTGCCCGCGCGTCATCGCCAGTACACCTTCCACAAGATACACATCAATCCCCTTTTTGCGCCAGTTTCGCCAGGTGCTATCTAAAGAGTTCTTTCTCAGCCTCACTGGCTATGGCAGCCACATCGGTGTCATCCCTGACGAGGTGCAACGCGACAGCAAGCTGGTCTATATAAGGTATTTTAAGTTCGCTGTCAGAACGCGTCAATACTACTTGCTTGTCCCCTAATATTTTCTTGTAACCACTCATTCCTCGCCCTCTCTTCATTGCCTAGACAATCGATAGCGTCACCGGCTTTTCGGTATCCGTGGACATCGCTATTGCTTGGACATTCCTGTTAGCATTCCCAGTTGTGATGCAAAGCCGTGCTTCCGCTGACCTCGAGAGGTTTGAACATGGTAAGCTATAACATTTTTCTCTGAGAGCTCATGACAGTTTTGCTTTGAAAGTCTCATCATTGTTCACGACGCCTGGGATACCATCTAGCGCGCCTCCTACGCAACAAACGCGACTTTGTCTTTACCTCAACGCCTTTGTCGCGTCAGTGGCGTCACCACTTATAAACGTTTCCTTGCTTCGATGCAAAAATCATTAAATCATTCTCATTCTCTACTTCTCGAGCTTCAATGGCATCGATTCCTCTTACACCAGCATCCCCCGCAGCAGACCTTGCGACACCGGATCCTGCAGGACATTTCACCAACATATACGCTGCTGCCAGTATAGATGCTATTGTTGATCGATTCAATTTATGCATGAGATATCTCCTCAATTTTAATGTTCCCTTCGAACGGGCGATACAAAGGCTCTGTCGTATAGAGCTTGGGTTCGATGACGCGGTGGTGGGGTTCAATGACATGGAGGAGGCGTTTAATTGGTTGGAGGACTCGCTCGAAGGCATGACGGAGATGCTCAAGGAGGTGTTCCGTGCCACGGGTGAGATACTTGATGGTATGGATAAGACGTATGATGGCATGACAGAGGAGATATGTGCGTTGGAGGAAAAGGTCAAACAGATAGAGGAGGAGATCTTTGAACTGATACACGGGTGAGTATCGGTTCATTCTATCGGTTCACAACACTTTCCTAATTGAATTTGCAGTAACGGATTATGGCCCATTCGGATTTGCAATCACCGATGCTCATTGGATGATCCATTGGTCTGGCCTCCTGTTTCTGATACTCCCTATCCAGCTGGGAAGCCCGAGACTCTTGCGGGACTCCAAACAATGAACGGTAAGTGCGCTTTAGAGTGCCAGTTGCTCTCTTACTAACAAATGTCAGCTGAGATGTGTGCGGCTCTCGCTGCTGCCTTACACCTTCGGCCTCCTCCTGATCTACTTCAGTCCCCACTCGAGTGGAGAAGAAAGCAAGTAATCAATTATATTGGATGCGCGGAATGAGTCATTCTATTGTGTTGTATCGTTGATACAATTACCTTTGTGTTCGTTATAGCACAATGTTCCTCGGTCTTGCATATATAATTTATTTAGAACGTCTGCAAAGACGGGGATCCGTTTGCTATGGTGTGGAATAATCGATATGATAATAACACAGCATGTGCGCATGTCAATTGGAGGCGCGTGATTCTGTTTCGAGCATAGCCATCGACCGAACGCACAATCCAGTGCACACCGACACCACCCGATAAATTCCACATGTATGGATAAGCCCACGGAAGAGATTCAGTAGGCATGAACACTAACAAGGTTAGGTTGGGTGGCTCACCAGCGACTGGATCAAATCTCAATCCACTTTAGTAGGCACGTCCATCCTTGGCACGACGGAGTACATGATGCCCTGGAGGATAGCCAATGGTGTGAATCGGGTCCAGCCTGCACGAATGAATATGTGCCAACTGAATTACTCTTCATCGACCGTCATCAGCCCCTTCAAGAACCAATCAATTTCATAGCGCCAGGTTGACGACGAACGGAATGAAACCACTGCAAAGTAGAAATACCGAGGCTCAAACTAAAAGTAGAACGTGGAGTGTTGGGATTTAGATGGCGGTAAGAACAAGTACTAGCGTAAGCCTAGGACAAACGTCGAGGCTTACCGTGCTAACTTGGTCCGTATCACCTCCATCACCGTGACTTCTAAAAAGATGACAACCGTGACTAATCAGCACAAGATCAGCATGCAAACATATGGGTATTAACGGGCGATATGCAGGGAGGATAGGGTACAGGCTTCTGGCGTGATGATAAATGAGGTCCTCCTGCTGTATAACTTGAATATGATAGGTTTGGTGTACAAGGGTGCCTGGTGCAGACCGAGCTGAGTTTGAATCCATCTTGGACCGCTCACTGCACCCATAACGCCGATGCACGATTTTGAAGGGATGAGTCAGGCCCAGGGCCCATGTAGGCCATTATCAAGCCTAGAACCTCATTTTAACTGCCAATTAGTACTATGGTCTTGGCAGCAGATATCCAGATAGTTGGCCCAAGTCGGTATTATGGGTACGCTGACGCCTCGCTTTCGGTCAGTGAGCCACTAACAACTTTCATAGATATCCTAGTAGATAGATTTAGATCCCTTCGATTATGTTATAACTACACACGGAAAATGCAGACTCGGACCCAACTGTCCCCCACAAGTTCCAAATTATGTAGTGGCCAGTGTCCTGCGTGCTACCACTTCCCCGCAGATAGCAACCTCTCGCGCTACTGAGAGCAACGGCTCGACATCAATATAAACGTTGTTCCGCCGCGCACTCGCCCAAAAACACGGCCGAAAGTCTACTACTTGTATATTGCAAGACCCTGCATCTGCAAGCGCCGTCGCAATGCCCTTCACCTCTGGTGTGTCTGGATTCCCAACCACATTCAATTTCTGCAACATCGGAAGGCGAAGTTCACGGAATGTGTCGATACGAGGATAAGGATAATAGAATATGGGAATAGTCATCGATTCAAGGCGAGAGTATGTGGTCGGGTGGCTCCCGGAGTCCAAATTTGGTGGAATGTAATCTGTCACGAGGGTCTCCGCGTGAGGAAAAAACGATAAACAGGAGTGTATGACAGCGACTGGAGCCCTCTGGATGTAGAGATGACGTATATTTTTGCAGGTAGCAGTGGGTCTAGATCGAATGACAGCCGACAATGAACCGAAACGTATGCGACAGAGGTTTGGCGCATTGAATCTGGTGACATCCAATGGCCAGCTACACTGCAGGGTTCTCAACTGGGGTGCGTTGAAGTTCTCGCTCCGTTCGAATACGTCGCACATGCCGAACACTGTTTCCCAACGCGTCGTTTCAGCAAAAAGTATTTCGAGCAGTTGAGTATTTGGGTACAAAGGTGACCATAATCTGAGGGGGAAATACATTCTATGCGAATGGTAAGAGGCTGACTGCCAGACCAAGCGAGCCAAGACCGAAGCAGTGATGGAAGGAATGGCTTTAATGGGAAATTCCTGGGAAGTCCAACTTTGATGTGCGACCAGATTCCTGTCGTTGAATATGCGACGGCTCGCCAAAGGCGGCACACCCGGGTGAAGAGTAGTGGCGGGCAGGCAAAATTTCCCGAGATGGTGGTTTCTCCAAATGAGAAAATACTAGGATGTCTGTAATGATGAGCAAGAATACATCCTGTAGAAGTTCCACGGGAAGCCGATGAATGGGGATTCTGAGTAGCTCAGGTTGATGGCTTGCGACGAGTCACTAGACAATGCACCGACCGTGTGCACGAATACTTGCATATTCACGTTGACGAGGAGTAAGGAGTTTCAGAATAGGAGGTTGACTTGCCCGCATCTTCCTGTGAACCTTATGTAATAAAAGGTGTGGGAATCGTCGCTGATCATCTGATGTCAGTCTCGTTGATACTTCTTTGTATCTTAAGCTTCAAAACGTTATTGCAGTGCCCACCTCACGTTAACACTGCCTTCCCGATGGCTACCTGTGCAGACAGTAAGTTGGCAGGCAACCCGTCACAGCACCTGAATTCAGAATAGACCGTTTGAAGTGGGTACCTGCACCCGCGAGATTTTCGCTCTCCCCAGCGTTTGCGGCACAGGTGACACCACTGTCACATCTTTCGTGCATCAGGGACACTCTTGGCTAGGGTTCATATGACATTGGAATGCACAGATGTCAGACCCGAGGATTCGGCATGCATCAATCAGAATCTTACGGTAGTAAGCTCATATCGTTACCTAACTGTATCTAACTCATTATGCTATATAGTGATCGATTCTCGCCGGTCAGTGCTATCCAGGACGCAATTTTTCCCCACCTCGAGTCTGTCACGATTTCCTTTTTCAAGATATTACTTGACCACACCTGCGTCTCTTCTTACCATCTTCCTCTTTCCTTCCTCATTTCTTGAGTATGCACCTCCTTCGCTTCTTTACATGTATCGCTTCTTGTCTCTCTGTTGCTCGTGCTTTCAGTGTGACAGTCGGGACTCCTACTGTATGTGAACCTCTCAGCATTTCATGGACTGGTAAGCGCACATCTAGTACATCTTACACGCTCCTGCTGAACTTTGTCTGGTTTGTCAGGTGGGCAAGCACCATTTGAAATACTCTTAGCTCCCGTTCGTCGGCGCTATCGTCTTAATCGCATCAATCGCGCGCTAACCTTTGTGTTTTCTAGTCTAACCAAATATATCAGAATATACCTGTTCCTGCATCGGCCTTCAGCAATGGAAAAGGCTCTTATTCAATATCGCAATTGTCGTTGTTGTCGGGAACGTCATTTGTACTCATTATGTCTGACGCCACTGGATTTGGTTCGGGTGGGACGACAAACGAATTAACTGTTGCGAGTTCGACTGCAAATAACAATTGCGGCGCTGCAGATCCGAATCCTCCTTACACGTTCGACTTGTCTCCGCTGACGCAATGCAGGTAAGTTTGGTTTGCCTACTTTTTTGTGGCACTAACCTACCAATACTGCAGTCCATTTACCATTACGGCCAGTGGTGCAGTCCCGCCCATTACTGTTGGGGTTAGATCATTCTAAATCCTTTTAAAACGATCTACTTATCTTGCTACAGCAACTTATTCCTGGCGGACTATCAGTACTATTCAACTCTGGTAGCAACACTTTTAGCTCGATTTTAGATGTCAGCGCAGGGACGAACCTCCTGTATTTTGTCAACGACTCCTTGGGCAACCAAGGTGGGGTCTCTCCGTACGAGCCGGTCTCAGGGTCGAGCGATTCCGCGTGCCTGAATTCGCTGTCATCCACTGCAGGCATATCGGCTACAGCCACAACTTTACCGTCATCTAGTTCGAGCAGTCCGTCAAGCAGTCCGTCAAGCAGTCCGTCAAGCAGTCCGTCAAGCAGTCCATCAAGTAATGCATCAAATTCATCAAGCAACAATGTTGCCCTCATCGCAGGCGCAGCGGGCGGTGGTGCGGCTGTCCTTGTTGCGTTGGCCATCCTTGGCATATGCTTGCGGCGTAAACGAAAGGCATCTCGATTACTGGGTGTTCAGTCTTCCACAAAAAGCTATCCACATCATTTGCAGCATACAGACCCAAATTACGAAGCCGGCCCTCACAGTGACGTCCCACCACAATTCTCCTTCGCATACAAGACAGACCCCCTCAGCTACCATACCCGCTCCATTCATCCCAGCTTAGGAACCCAGTCAGAGATGACCAATTCGTCTGCCGGCACCTTCGCAGTTGGCGCCCCTCTCTCATCATTCAACCAGACACAACATTCGCGCCAGAGCTCCAACACAGACTTTCCTGTCTATGGAGATACTCGAGGTTCGACTGTGTCATCATCTAACAGCCGCCAATTACTCCTGTCTAGCGGAAACTCCACAGCCAACGATCCTCGCACACTGTTCAATCAGACACTGCATTCACGCCAGACCTCAAATGCAGACTTTGTGTATGCAGACGCTCGGAGCTCGGCTATGTCATCTGTTGACAGGCGAATGGCTACCGTCGCTGAAATGCCATCACCATGGGAGACCGTTCCTGTTAGTTACCTTGTTCCATCCGTTCAATCCGGATCCCAACAAAGTCCTATCTATGCGTCTGCCACCAACATGGCCACTATGGACCATCACGCACCCTTCAATCAGACACAGCCTTCACACATGAGCCCTAACACAGACTTTCCTTTCTATGGAGACGCTCAAATGTCAGATATGACACCCGCCGATCATATGGCTGCGGGGGCTCGACCAGCATCACCATTACCACGAAAGGTAGACCTTGTCTACCTTTCTCCACCCGCTCAAACCGGATCTCAATCAATTTCAACTTCTACCGGCAACGTCGGAGTCGAGGACCCTCCCACACTATTCAATCAATCGCAAAAATCCCATCAGAGGTCTGACACAGACAGCTTTGCTGTGCACGGAGCATCTGGGCCTCAGTCTATGGCGCCAGCTAGCGCGCAAACAGCCTACCAACCTCCTACTCGAATCATCGTGCATACCGACGCAGCTGATGTTGTGCCAGATAACAATGATGTAGTTGAACTTCCGCCGCAGTATTCAGAACATCGGGGAATCCGTGCCTCATGATCTGAGTCTGTGTTATGATCACGTCCCCACACGCTTGAGTCTGGGAAAACCTCTTGAAAATCGATTCAATCACTCAGAATTGCCGATAATTCGAGACTACGCTTTTATTTACGAGGTCCGGTCCATGTTCCATTGCATTCACAGCAGTTTATTTTGAACACGTTACGAATCTACTCATTTTTAGTCAAAGTCAGGATGCGGAAACGTCCGAAGTGTCTGACCGGTGTTTATTTTAGTATTACCATACACCATCATTCGTATCACACTCAATGCATGCATTACCCAATGCCCGTGACAGAAGTTAGATGGAAGCGTGGTCTAGCCCAGGAGACCTCCATCACGTATGGAATTAGGGCACACGGACTTCACGTCCTGCTGCTCGCCACCGAACTGAGACTCTAATTCAGTTTCACAGGCAAAGCCCGTTCGACAAACGTTCTCGTTTATCCACACATGTGATCTACGGTATCTTCTCGAGATGCCTGACTTCACAGAGAATAACATTAGACCGAGCCTAAGTCCCGGATGCACGACTCCCGGATAGACGACTCTCCGGTAATTCGCCTGTAGAAGAACCTCACTCACGCGACTTAGATAGCCTTTCAACTGGCAGCGTGTAGGAGAAAAAGGAGGATCGCGTCGGACCATGACATCATTGCACGAGCCAAAGACATAACTTCCGTTGACACATGGACGTCGGTACCGTACAGATACCATAGGTTCGTGTCATCTCTGTTGCACGACTCACCTGCTGCACGTCGTACGAAATGGGCCGGTTTATTCAAATTCTCACTCGCGAGCGTCTAAGCAGCCTTTTGATCCATTTTTGTTATCGCACGAACGCTACGCGGTGAATTGAAGAGCATCATAATATCATTGCGCGGTTTTTTTTAGTAGCTCACTACATATGATGGAGATCAGGACACCTATAGAAATGCCGCAGCCATATCATACATGTGGATCCTTTCGAAAATCTCACACCTGAGCTTCTACTGCATCGTGCCACCTTCCAAGATACTGATGCCCCGTGTTCCAAATCCACCTGCAATGATTACTACGGTTGATGTCGATGAGATTGAGCACATGGTAAAAAACTTAAACACTGAGGCTGTTGTACTATTTTCGTCACCGGAATTGTTTCATGTAAAATGCTGGGACGTGCTCTGACGGTGCATTCAAGTTCAAGTTGCATCGGAAAGACATCACGCTAATGATATTTGATATAACCCAGAGGCAGATCAGGCATAGCTGCTGCTGCTACCATCACCTTTCACCAGGCTAGGGTCGGTTCATACTACTACAGTCTCAGTCTGCAAGGATCCGGAATGTGTTGAGAGTGTGTCACGAATTTACAGGCACTGCCTAGAGTAAACATGGATCGGACTTCTAAATGCCAAATTTCTCCGAGATCGACCAGCCTGGCTTCGCCACTCGACTTGTTCGTGGTATTGGTAAGCCAGGCTGGTCACGAGCCTACCAGTACCGTATAACCTATCGTCCACCAGACTCCCAAGCTCTGGCGTACCTGTTCCTGCACCGATGGAGGCATTCCATAGCAAGTATCTGTACTCGGTGCCATGGAGAAGACACTTGTATGCAAAACTATCCGACTGACTCGGACTGCCATATTGCATCTCAAAATGCAAACAACAGGCATCGAGTTGCAAACTCGTAACCTCAGTATGGATGACATTGCCTTTCTCACTGCTATCCCTTCGCCGAAATCCCACTATGTATTGGATGAGCTACAATATGAATTATGGGGCAGGTCGTGGTGCGTATTTGTACATTCACTTCTTCTCACCCTGCATCACAACCACAAGGGTATCTCTGCTCACGCTCTCGAGCGAGATGAAGAACGACGCGTCATCTTCATGAACCATATTGTCGAGATAGCTTTGGATTTGAAAATGCTGAATTTTGGTGACGAAGCTGCGAAAGATGAAAGGACAGTCGACTCGCGGCCGATGTTCGAAAATTGGAACAAGGTTCGCTTCATTTACAGCTTAGTACCAGTCGAAGTGTACCGTTTCTTTCTCAATGACCTTTCAGAGTGACCTATCGTGTTTTTCAAGTATAGTTGTGAGAAAGTCAAGGTATTTGGACTTACGTGAAAAATGACATCTTTGAACTTCGTAGACTTCACCTCCTTGACTTTGTTTTGCCATTGCTTTCTGCAACAAAGACAGTCTCCCATTGAGGTATTTCTGGGTTCAAGGATTCAGAAGGTGAGGCCGTCATCGAGTCTATCTAAAGATTACTAGTATCTCTCGCAGCTTGGATTGAACTCGCTCACATGCTTACGAGGACCTACTTCGGACATTTCTAAGACGCAAGTTCAACTTGTACGTTTCCGCATAATTTTGCAATCGGCTTTAACACAGCTTTTTCTATGCCTACCCACAGTACTTGAATAGACCGTTTGAAAGTGAGTCCGCGGGGTGTTCTCTCTCGGATGCTATTCCTCCCTCATGTCGAGTCCACCCCAATATACTACCGCTGACGCAGGCGTTTGCGGCACAGGTGATATATACACCATTGCCGCCATATATTACACGCGTTCTGATCGATTCTTACCGATCAGCTTTATCTAAGACGCAATTTTCCCTCACCTCGTCTCCTCCGATTCCCTTTTTCAAGATATCACTTGTGTCTCCTATCATCTTCCTCTCCTCTTGAATATGCACCTTCGCTTCTTTACGTTCATTGCTTCTTGTCTCTCTGCTGCTCGTGCTTTCAGTGTGACAGTCGGGACTCCTACTGAATGTGAACCTCTCAGCATTTCATGGACTGGTAAGCGCATATCTAGTACATCTTACACACTCCTGCTGAACTTTATCTGGTTTGTCAGGCGGGCAAGCACCATTTGAAATACTCTTAGCTCCTGTTCGTCGGTGCTATCGTCTCAAGCGCATCAATCGCGTGCTAACCTTTGTGCTTCCCAGTCTGACCAAATATATCAGAATATATCAGTTCCTGCATCGACCTTCAGCAATGGAGAAGGCTCTTATTCAATACCGCAATTGATGTTGTCGTCGACAACGTCGTTTGTACTCACTATGTCTGACGCCACTGGATTTGGTTCGGGTGGGACGACAAACAAATTAACTGTTGGGAATTCAGCTGCAAATAACGATTGCGGCGCTACAGATCCAAAACCTCCTTACACGTTCGATTTGTCTCCGCTGATGCAATGCAGGTGAGTTTGGTTCGCCTACTTTTTGTGGCACTGACCTACCACTACTGCAGTCCATTTACCCTTACAGCCAATAGTGGTGTATTCCCGCCTATTACTGTTGTGGTCAGATCATCGCGAATTCTTCCAAAACGATCTACTTATCTTGCTACAGCAACTTATTCCTGGTGGAGAATCAGTCGTATCCAATTCCGATGGCAACATTTTTAGCTCGACTTTAGATGTCAGCGCAGGGACAAGCCTGCTGTATTTGGTCTACGACTCCTTGGGAAACCAAGGTGGGGTCTCTCCGTACGAGGTGGTCTCAGGGTCGAGTGATTCCTCGTGCCTAAGCGCCAACTCGCCGTCATCCACTCCAAGTATGCCGGCCACGGCTTCACCACCATCTAGTTCAAGCAGTTCATCGAGCAGTCCATCAAGTAGTTCTTCAAGCAACCATGTTGCTATTATTGCAGGCGCAGCGGGCGGCGGTGGGGCTGTCCTTGTTGCGTTATTCATTCTCGGCATATGCTTGCGGCGTAAACGGAAGGCATCTCGTTTGCCGGACGTTCGATCTTCTACAAAAAGCCATCCACGTCGACTGCACCATACAGATCCAAATTACAAAGCCAGCCCCCACCCACCACAATCCCCTTCCCTATATAAGACAAACACTCCCAGCAACCGTACCCGGCCCATTCATCCTGGCCTAGGAACCCAGTCAGAGATGACCAATTCGTCTACCAGCACCTTCGCAGTTAGCGCCCCTCCCTCATCATTCAACCAGAAACAACATTCACGCCAGAACTCCAACACAGATTCTTCTGCCCACGGGGATACTCAAAGTTCGACTGCGTCATTCGCTAACAGCCACCAATTACCCCCGTCCACCAGAAACTTCACACCCAACGATCCTCGCACACTGTTCAATCAGACACCGCATTCACGCCAGACCTCAGCTACGTCATCTGTTGATGGGCGAATGGCTAGTGTCGCTGAACTGCCATCACCGTGGGAGACCGATCCTGTTAGCTACCTTGGTCTATCCATTCAATCCGGATCCCAACAGAGTCCTATTAATGCGTCTGCCACCAACATGGCGACTGGGGACCATCACGCACCCTTCAATCAGAAACAGCCTTCGCACATGAGCCCTAACACAGAATTTGCTGTCTATGGAGACGCTCAGATGTCAGGTACGACACCCGTCGAGCATATGGCTGCGGGGGCACGACCAGCATCACCATTACCACGGAAGACAGACCCTGTCTACTTTGCTCCACCCGTTCAAGTCGTATCTCAATCAACTTTCACCTCTGCCGGCAACGTCGCAGTTAAGAACCCTCCCGCACCCTCCAATAAGGCACAAAGTCCCGGTCAGAACCCTGGTACAGACAGGTTAGATGTGCACGGAGCATCTAAAAGTCTGTCTGTGCCATCGGCTAACGCCCAAGCGACCTACCAACCTCCTACCCGAATCATCGTTCATACCGACGCTAATGATGTTGTGCCAGACGAAAATGGTGTAGTTGAACTTCCGCCGCAGTATTCAGAGCATTGGGAAATGCGTGCTCACTAATCTGAGCCTGGGTCATGATTACGTCCCAACACGCTTGAGTCTTCAGACATGGCTATGCCATGATTTTATTTCGTTCGAGTGTCTTCAAGAATGACGTATAAGTCCTACTTTTATTTGGTGACATGTTGTTTTCAAGTTTTTCATGATATTTGAATGACATGTACTCCAGCGTAGTACTAGGAAGTACACACTTCTTGTCCAGAAATTTTTTCGTTGAATTTATCGAGAGGGTAAAGGAACCCGCGACGAAGACGCGTTAGAATCCCCAATACTCAGGAGTGTAATTTAAATCACTCACCACTCGACTTTAGCATACTAGGCCTGACACTGGCTTGAGATCTTCAAACACAAACGCAGCAGCATAGACATGCGAATTTTGATCGTTCGACAGAGTCTCGAAGCACTATGTGGATTAGAGTATGGTGATTTGTATATACCTGTAGGATCTAGGATTATCTTCCGGCTGCCGCAGATGACCTTACCGCTGCGTCGAATACAAACAATACAGACAAGGCTAAGTTAGTTTATAAGACTTGACCTTCTTGCCCTAGTACTATCATTAATACCGGTAATTTCCGTTAGTCATCATTTGTCACAGTACTTGCGCTTGCATTCAAATGACCACTGCCGTCTGACTCCAACTTGGGCTGCCATGGTGCAGCACCTAGGCCTGCACGACATTTCACGCTCAAGCTTTATTCTTATATGGTATGAAACGATAGGCACGTCAAAGCAAGGCACTGGCTAATTGATAAGTGGAACAGGGCACGAACTTGAATATGAAATTAATCACAAATACATCCCGTACGTATCCATGATCATCATCATGAAATCCAGTCAGTACTTGCATGTATGAATTCTGACAAGAGTTCCTTCCGCAGGACGATTATTATTGGCAGGTTTATCTTCGGCACTCTCACGTCTGTGGTGTGGCCTGTACGGTGTGCACCGTGACCTAACCTAAATTTAAAACCTTTCAATGCACTTTTTCAGTAACCTCTCCTCATGATCTTGTTGTCCGTTTCTGTGGTGTGTACCTACTTTGACACCAGCACAGCACTTCGGGCCTCACTTCTACCAACCAACCAACCATCTCTCCCATTCAACACCTTCAACATCTTGATGATCACCGCAGAGAACATGCAAGGCATGTCGTCACGACACTATCCTGTACCTGTTGATACAGGCCCTCCAAGAATCGAGTAAGTGGCAAGCTAGACTGAGCTGAGCGCAACACTTATAGATTTACAGTGATAGAATTACTAGCAAGCCCCCTACAGCAAGCAAGAAGCTTGCAGAGGCTGTCGTGGGAAACCCTATCAAGAATGTGTAAATGTTAAGCAACCAATTAATGGGGACACTCGAGGTCTGATTACGCTGGGCGATAGGTCAAACACTGATGAACAGATCCCCGACGGACTACAAGGGCTTCCTACAGTTCAGGAACGTAACAAAGACGTCGAATCGAAGTTTTGGGCAACGTACGATGAGGTTTCGACGGAGTACGATGACGACTTTTTAGAGCGGGCAAATGGTGATATGGGTATCATATTAACTTTCGTGCGTTTGTTTATATCTATCAAAGCAAATCTAACAGACGAACCAGGCTGGTTTATTCTCAGCTGTCAACTCCACTTTTATCATCGGAATGCAGCCTAACCCGGCAGAAACTACCAACGTCCTCTTGTTTCATCTTATCCAAATGACAGCTAACGGAACAAGCATTGTACATGATATCAGCGGTCTTTCCCCTTACACGCTGTATCCTTCTTCGACTGTCTGGATGCAAACACTTGCGTATGCTAGCCTCTCGTTCAGCGTCTTGGCCGCGTTTGGGGCTGTGATGGGAAAGCAATGGCTCAACGCTTACAAGGCAGCTCGTGGGCGAGGCTCTCTTGAGGAACGTTGCATACAGAGGCAGAGGAAAATGGATGGAATGGAGTATTTTCGGCTCCAGACCGTCTTGCAGGGGTTCCTCGTGGTCCTCCAGATCTCGCTACTCTTATTCGGCTTATCACTCAGCGCCAACATGTGGACCCAGCAAACCACGATATCCAGTGTCGTCATCTGCTCCACTGCATTTGGCATCCTGTTTTACGCAAGCGCTCTCCTCGTGACAATTTTGCGTCCGGACAGTCCTTTCCGGACACCAGGAGCTGAACTAATGGGAGCCATCTGCAGAAAATTGCTTCGAGGCAGATTGACTTTCACTCCCGATAGTGCATCCATTAAGTTGTCCGCCATCCGCTGGATACTAGAGACATCCACCCATCCAGAAGTTGTCGTGGCTGTCGCTGCAATGATCCCTTTCATGCAATGGCCGCAGAACCTTGATGTTTCCGCAATCTGTGGACGCTTAAATGATAATCTCGCAGCATGCTATGAAATGGAGGAGGTATTTGTGAAGTGTGGCAAAGCCATAGCCCATCTTTACAGCCAGTCGCTGAAAATACCTGAAGACTTTGGCTACAAACTCATGTATATCTCTGATTGTTGGGGAGGCAAGAGCCGTTTCATTCATGATGCGTTCATGGACAGCCGTAACGCCTGCAATCACCTCAAGAACACACAGAAAGCGGACGCTCGACAGAAGCATAAGGCTGATGCACGCACGGCTCTGAGAACACTGGTTGTCTACGGGCATCCCATGTGTTTTTTCATTTCCAGACGATGAAAGACTAATTTGGCATGGTGATCTGCGATGGCGTTACAATGACGAGCGCATCCCCAGCTGTGAGGAGTTTGACTGGCTGATCGACTATTTAGTGGAAGTAGACGCCACAGCAGATGACGAAACTGTAGGCGACGCTCTGCTTGCGCTGAGTGCCATGCCCAACCTAAGGAGCTCTACCAAGCGTCATTCCTACATCACGGCGCTCATCCATTGCATAGACCCTGCCAGACCTCCCCGTGTCCGACATGCTGCACTACGAGCCATTGCTGATGCTCGAGACGAATTGGCATCTATGACAAATGAGTCAATACCACAGGGTATGGGTGCAACACTCCTGGACAAACTTTCTTGTGCTATTTTGACTGCCGTATGTCCAAAACACTCGCAGGACCAGACAATCCAATCCAGTGGACCCGACGCCTCTTTTCACGAAGACCGAGATACTTGCTACTCTCGTCTCATTCTTGCTCTTGCACAGAATGATGAGTGGCGCGAACGTCTGACCCGTGATGGTCATTTCGAGCATTGCGTTGTTCTAGCTGAGCACTCCCTTGAAGACCAGACTTGGCTTCCCGGATGCTACCTTGCCGGGATCTTCGCATATATCAATTCCTCAGACAAGGTTTTACCCCTCAGCCCTACCCAGAAGAGCTGGCAGGCATTCATCAGGGAAAAATGGAAGACCGCAAGTCTTTCCATAATATACTATGCTGGTGCGGCGCTGCCAGCCCTCGCGGCAGCAACGAGGCACGATTTACAAAGCTGGGATTCTAGCGTTTCTAACGAAGAGTTAACAGAGCTCACTACAGACGTACATAGGGCGTTGGAATTATTGCAAAAGAGCAAGGATATTCTTGTGTATCTTGGTATAGATCAGGCTCTATTTGATGCTGCCCTATCCTCTGTGCAGGGCTTGTATGACGATTTGCGTCGTATGATCGAGAACCCAAACACTTCGCAGACGGACAATGGGCCTTTGGAGTCTTGAAGGCAAACCGTTATGTAGCAGTATTGTATATCCTACAATTCTAACTTGTCAATTTATGCTGGGTTTGGTATATTTATGCCTTCAAGCTCGAGCCATTGACTTGCCAGTACTGCACCTACTATTCATTTCCGTACAATAACTATTTTCCCTTCATGACACCAGTATTATTCGCCTACCCTATATGCATGCGGCTAGCAGAATGCATCCAACACCTCTATAGTTTGAGATAAGCTTCCGCTTCAATCATATCATCTGAGACTATAGTTTAATTCCCTTTCCTCTGCGTGTTTCACATTAGAGCAACGACCCAAGAGCATCGTACGCGCATCAACCTTGCGTTCAGCTATGCACGCAGCTACCAGCCGTATAATGGAAGTTGCAGCGACTAAAACTCCCTTCATGATACTCTCAACTGCTAATCTATATGGGTCCCCCCGCCAGAGTCAATTTCTGTAACATAACGGAGTTTGTGCATTCAGATGACTGCGATGAAGGAAGGGAGAGTCATTGATTCAAGGCGAATTATGTAGTCAAAGGACTTGCATGGAATCCGACATCACATCATCCGTCATGAGGATGGTGAGCACGGCTCGGAGTGAATTTGACAGATAATACTTCGATGCGCTGTTTGCATCAGGTGTGCCAAAGCTGCATGTCACTACTTCTTTTCTGTCAAGTCCTTTGCTGCAGGCTGTTGATAAACTTCGACTTCCAGGTTCACAACGAGGCGAAGGACTTACACAAGCGATCTTCAAGGATGAACTCGAGAATCTTCTTTCCCAGTTCCTCTCCATAATGGTCTTGACGACAAATCTCTTTCGCTACTTTCTCTACTGTGGCAACCATGGGGGATTTCAGGTAGTAGTCCACGGAAGACTCCACGGCAGACTCCATGGCAGACTCCACGAGCTCCGAGCCCTTCAACTTGTACGGGAGAAACGCAGAGTACTCGAGGACGATAATGGTGGCTGCCTCCTCTCATTAGGGCTGAAACCGGTCATGGGGTGAGAAACTAACCGATGCCAGTCTGAATTATTCTGTTCGCAGCAGAAGTGAAAAGTGAACCCTTCATAGCCTGTTGGACACTCGTACAGTGCTGAGAATCAATGCGGAGGGAAGCCAACCTACCAAGGGCTGAAGGATGCGGGTGATATCATCGTGGCGGGTTTTGGCCTAGCCACAAGTTGAAAGTATGGGTATCAGATTCGACTCCACAGGGGAAAGTACTTGCTCCCTGCGGGAAAGGAATGTCAGAATTATGAGGCGGAAATTAGCATTTGATGAATAACAGAGACGTACATTCTATTGGTCGACGTAACGGTTGTAAATGATCAACCATCAGATTGTAAACAACAAATGCTGTGCTCAGGTGACTTACAAACTGTCAGGGGTTGGGACCAGATGGGCATCACTATATATTGGCGAATACCATTCATGGACGTACGAGCTAGATAAGATAATTTGTCAGTGGACTAATATAATGTCAGTTAGTATATGATCAACATTCTGCGAACACGTGATGAAGACAAGAGTTAATATGGCTCAAACCGTTGACGATTGAAATACACTCACATCCTACAGAATGACGGAGTCAGTGAAAATGGTTGAGACATTTAACGCTTCGCATTATGAAGGTCAAACGACTCACATTCTGCATAGGACACGAAAATGTGCAGGATGAATGAACATGACAAAAGTCATTAAGAAGGGATACTCAACGAACTAAGCATCACATGAGCAATGATGATTCGACTCATCTGATGGAATAGACCACGCTTACGTTGGGCTATGAAAACGAGTAGACATCATTATACTATTGAGCATCATCTGAATACAAGATGTGATCAAGACACACACCACCTGCCAAAAAGAACAGTAAGTGTAAGACCCGTTGCAGACAGAAAACCCTAGGATGGTTGCTAATGTCAACTTTTCGGACATGGAACAAATCAATCTGAACTACTCACTCTGCAAGCGCACATAGGACTTGGGACGCACAATATTTTCGGGGTTGCACAACTGATCCGAGACTCCTGTCTTAGTGAAAAGTTCCTCGACGCGCTCGGCAATCCTCTTTGAGCGTTCTTCAGCCGATACCCCTTGTAGTTGCTTCTTGATTTCTCCATATGCGAATGGACGCAGAGCTTCGAATTTGGTGAACACCGCAACCACAGGAACTGAAGATTGATCATTTAGTCCAAGAGCGGCAACTGAAGATGAAGTTGCAAGCTCACCATGCCCGGTGTCACACTCCTGGAAGAACTTCTCTTCTGACCGCTGGAACGTTCGACTCGGGTCGTCCAGTGGGATACAATACCTGATGGCAATTAACAAGCACGGAATGTCACAAGGGAGTCACTTACCAAATAGCATGGATTTGCTCCTCCAATTCCGTCGCATGCGCACGTTCTGATATGAATTTCTTCATATTCTCGAATTCTTCCTCAGACCCCGCTTCGAAACCGCACGAGTCGTGGAAGACGAAACCAGGATTGCTTCTGAACACCATCTCGTTGTTGATGTCGTGATTTCCACGCTGAGCGTCCGTCAGCGGATGTATGCCCCTAGGGAAAACGATGCACCCACCTTGATCGATGATTTCACGATGGCAGCATCGATCTACCAGCAATTAATCAGCGCTGGACGCGTGCATGACATAGATCATCACCCGCACCTTCTTTCCCTTGAGATCGTTGATTTCTGGTTGATCGGTGGTGTTGCAAACCTTCTGGAGGATGGTCGTTTTGCCTGCGTTTGCTCTCCCCATGATCAGAATTCGAAAGCGCCTAATCATCCGTCTGAGGTCCTGGGCTTCGATGGTTGCCATTGGGAATCTTGATGTGCGTCCTGAGGTAGAGGTGATTTGGTTTATCGTGAAAGTTGTACTGCGGTACAGAACGAGGTCGTGGCGAGATATGGCAGTGAACGAATACGAAGCAAGGGTTCCCATGGCTTATGACACATCAGCTACATACGGCGTCTATCTCTTATCTCCCTGCGTCAAACCACTGATTATACCCACAAAGTTGCAACTGTTCAATCGTTCGTACGATAAAGCACCAGGATTACACAACAGACGATGTCGAACAATGAAGACGTTGATAGAAATATTAACTATAATGGACGATCAGAATACGATGGAAATGTCAGAATTTCGCTATTCCCTACCCGTCTAGCTGGAAAGCAGTGATGTCGGAAATCTCTGTAAATGGACGTAAGCTCGATCTTCCGAGGTCTTCCAGATGATTGATCCTTGAAACGTCTGGAAGCAAACAAGAGCATGTCGGGATGCGAAACACCTTCTGGAATGGGTGACATCCCGTGATGCTCGACAGGGTCCGCATATCTGGGGTTTCCCCCAGAGGATGGTGGTTCTGGATATGAAGAGCAATGGAGCAGTAGGTACCGTGCGTATTGGCTGAACTCGAACGTCGACCACGCTCGTCGGTACTGAGGGAAGGGCCGATGTAGCGGGCCGTGAGAACTTGTGTATTCATAGATAGCTCGGGGCAGGTTTAGGTACACATCCACGAATGAGTCCGACTGTGTATCATATTCAGAAATTGGCCCATATATTGTCAAGTATCAAAGAAGACGTACCGGTCAATATGCACGTAGATTGGGAGGGGTGTCGCGCGTCTTACTGGATTACGGAAAACAATCTGCCCCAAGAATACTCACTCATGAGCACAATGGATATACTTCTTGCAGCCTTAAGAGTCGCCGTGCCATCTGGGTCGGTGCGCCATTGTTGAATGGGTCCTCCTCCGACTCTTCTTGCATTGCTGATGCCTACTGTGATGAGTGATGTCGTTCAGGCCGGCTCCTTCTCAATTCCTAGCGAGCTCTCTGGTGTCTTTCGATGGTATCGAGATCATATAGCATCAACCGTCATGATGTAAGTGATAAAGTACATGACCCTGCGCCTCGAACATACAAAACAGCATGCTTTGGCAAGAATACGATCAGTATAAGGACTCGCGGTCCAAGCCAAGACTCACTAGTCTGAAAAATATACGTGACTGCATGCCTTGAATCCAGCCATTTCGAAAACATCAACAGCATTGCAAGACATGGAGTTGAATGCCGGCGCATCGTGACAGCCGGAAAGCTCGATTATTATCTTGCGCGTCCTCTCGTGTTCCTTGTCTGAAGCTGAACGTGGAAGGTAGAGCTTGACAACGGCTGGTGATGTAGATACCCTCAAGCGAAGGTGTGAACTACAGTGGGAATCTGGATTGTGTGACTGCTTCTGTGCTGAGTCCGGTGTCTTCATCGTGTAGACCAGCTGTTTGCGTCTACAAGACAAACGTGAGGGAGTGACGAAGATCCTTAGCTTCACGTGCGTAAAAAATCCTCCGTAAGGATATGCTCGTCCACGTCTAGTAGGGGTGCGAGAACACCACTGTCATTAGGGTGTGGTAGTGGTGGATCTGGGACGGAGACCGCTGAAAAATCACATGTTGGGGACTCGGAGGTGGAATGGGAGGGCGAATATCTATCGCTGTATCGGGAATGTCTCCAGAGGCATCGTAATCTGCAAGATGGTTCTCCTGTAGGGATAGATTGAAATTATAAGTTATTGTAGTAAAAACAAGACGAACTTCTATACCAGGATTACGATCCTGTTCATCCTGCTGGACAGGTTGTGGGTCCCGATGCCATGCTAGCATGTATCCTTTTCTCTTTCAGAAAACACGTCCCCTTGTATCGGGACGTCTACATGCATGCCGTTTCCACGTTCCGTAAAGTACTTGGTGCAGCTGGCTCCTGCACAATATCTCGCAATCGCAGTGATATTTTTTCGAAATTGGTGTTATTGAATCTGTAAAAGTGTGTAGTCATGGTGTGTCGACGAAGGTGTCTTTCTGACACAAGACGCTGACAGAACGCAGGTCACAGATGTCTGAGATAAGTTCTGTGCAACGTGTGCTCTGCCTGCGTTTCGTACGTTAGAGTAATGATAGAGACCATGAACGAAATGACAAGATTCAGACATGGGGTCACATGACAGGAAGGAGGCGTTCCCTCTTTCTCGCATATCCGTCACTCGAGAGCTAACATCAGTGAACTCATGAGTCCGTGATATTGTACCCGTGATAACTACAAAAAGAAATAATTCTGTTTCTGCCATATATCACCATTTATACGCCGATAAATTTGACTTCTTGATACATAGGTATATACATCTACGAAATTAGAGTACCTTCAGGCACTCATGACAAGGGTACAACACAGCAACATGACAGCCATCAGGGAATCGTGTTGAATTTGGGTCCACTATGTTAGCCATGCTCACTTGTCATAATTAAAATTTTCAATAAAAAACTATTCATGACTTTATGATGAAAAGCAGCACTAGCCTTGGTCATCATATATATATGAACATTACAAGTCATGACTACGTTGTGACATTACACCATCATAACCTGGACGGGATAGTAGGTTAATCATGTCGAGGTTGTCGAGCGTTCACATTTTCCCCTATCATGTCTTGAATTACAAGGCTATATAAGGCATTATCGTAGCAAACAACTTTAGCATTGATCCTCGAGATTAGAATAGCGAGGAGTTGGTAAAACAAATGTTGCATTGTAGTATCACGGCCCATAAGAGAAGATATGCGACTCGTGTCAATATTGTTGGGCATTCTCATTTTTATTTATTACAAATCTAAGGGAACTGTACTAGAGACACGGTAGCGTGGCGTTGTGCTAGTTCAAGTGTGACGAGGTGTGTGACATAGTCAAGAGACAGAGCTCGGGCGAGCATCGAATCGCAGATATGTAGAAATACGCTGCTCCCCGTGACACGTTGTGTGTAAAACTGTAGTCTACATAACTACAAATGGTTGCGTAAGAGTATACTCGATCTGGATCTCAACGGCGTAAGACTGATTGGTGGGCACCGCGGGAAGGTCAGTAGAGCAGACGAAGAAGTTCCCCTGGAACGAAGCCATGCGCAAACATTGATTGCATTGATGAGTATGCTTTCGAAACTCGAGAAGATTGTGCGGAACCGGATGAAAGGGAGGAGGGCCGAACCTCAGTCGCGGGTAATATGTGTCAGCCTCGATTGCGCTCGTGCATGCGGGTAGGCGGGAAAGCTGGAGAGTATGGACCTAATTCGTGTAGTGGTTAGTTAGGTCACAGTGGAACACGAAATTAGGAGAGAAACGAACGCACCAAGGAACCATCCAATCGCACTACAAGCCGGGCGAGATAGATGGATTATGATGCCCGAATACGATTCGAGCACGCCAAAGTTTGCATCCGCCGGTATACCAGATGATGATGAGATGAGTTCCCCGCCGCCATGAGCCGTGTGAGGTCGACGTGGAACCCGTACGTGTCATACAGCCGCCATACGTCTGCACCATTGAGCTCATTGACACCCAGATCTTTCGTACGTGTCGCGTATTGGTCAAAGAGCTTCTCGCCCCGATCAAGGGTACGTGAGAATGACTCTTCCTCCTCGTCAAGGATCTCTTTGATGTCGCCTTGCTTCTTTGTAAGCTCAGGGAAGGCATCACCCTAGTGTCCAAGGTATAAATTAGGGTGAGTGGATGCGATAGATGTGCTTCACTAACCATGGTCTCCACAAAGGGCATCAAAGAGGAGAAAAACGAGCCGATGGGTGCACCAAGCTTCTTCCTGACATAGCGTGAACCACGACGAAGGATCCGACGAAGGACATAACCACGGCCAACGTTGTTGGGCACAAAGTATAGGTGACCGCGACGGACTCGGATAGCCACAGTAAAATACACGCTAGCTGATCGACGACAAACAATGGCGTGAAGGTGTCGAAGGTCACGGCCGGAGGATATATTCGTGAGTACTAGTAGTACAAGCACAGACAAGCACCATGTAACGTGTCACGCTGTCACAAATAATCGATTAGGACACCAACTGCTCGATGTCAAA